TCTTAATTTTTTATAAGTTAGTTTTAATCTAAAGAAAATTAATAAAAATTTGTTTATTTTTTTATAAATAATGATCTGCAAAATTAGCCAATCATAGAGGTGTGGTGACTTAGTGTAGTTGGTTAGTTGTCACCCTCCCAAGCGGCAGGTCTAGAGTAGAGCCCCTGAATATTGTATAGTACTATTAATCAAATCTCTGTGACCAAAAGCCATTTTCGTACAGACCAAATTCATAAACTCGTACAACATACATTAGTTTTATGTAAAACCGTACATTAAACATTTTTATTAAAAAATGATTTCCGTACACTGAACGTTATATAAAAAAATTTTTTTCAAGATATTATAATCTAGATTTTAATACTATTCTAGATTTTTTTTTCATTAAATTTTTAGCTTCCATAACTCCGGATTCTATTTGAATGACTTCTTTCATTGATTTTTTATATAATTGCAATTGAATTGCCAATAATATTATATATCGGTCTAAAAAAAATGAAGTTGTTTTACTTTTAACTTCGACCTTGCCTAAAGACCTAATAAAACAGAAAGGATATTCTTCAACCGCATATTGAATTTTTAATGGATCTACAATACAAAAAAATTCATATTGATTTAAAATATCTTGTTCATATGAAATCGCATATATACGGTTAGCATTTAATCCGTCCAAAGATTCAGCCTGACGATATGATATACTATATTTCTATAAATATTTTTTTGGTTAATTACATATATGTAATTTTTTAATAATCATTTCAACAAACCATTTACCAGATATTAAACAATGCGATAATTTATTAATAATACTGTATTAATTATATATGATGTCAGATAAATAGTTTAATGAAATGACTATCGGCAACAACTAATTTATATACTAAATTATGACAAAGTTAATATAAATACCTTAAATACAGCAAGAATTTCCACTATATAAACTTTTTTATTACAAATATAAAAATGAAAATTGCCGGCTGCATAATGTATATTTTTGGGATTAAGATTTGTAATACTAAATATTTTTTTACAGGCACTTGTCCATCGAGCAAGACGACTCTTGGTTCATAAAGTAGATTTTTCTGCAGAATTCATTCATTCAAATATTAAAGCTGTTTCTATATTAAGAGCTCCATTTGGTGTATCAATTGTAAAACTTTGAAATTGTCGTGATGATGTTGAATTAAATTTTCATGTTTCTTTAAGAGTATACTCATCAAATTTTTCTTTAATAAAATTAATTAGCATTAATTTAATAATTAAACTATAATCAATATTTTAAATTTATTTACCTCTATATTGTGTCATCTCTTTTATAATTTTAATAGGATCTAAAGATTTTAATCATATATAATAATTCATTAATTCGAAAAATGAATAATTATATTTATTAAAATCATCAAACATTTTATCTTTATTCGAATTGCAAATCTCAGAATTAGAAGTAGTAAAATCATATTTATCAGGTAAATTTTGACATGTAGTAAGTCTTTGTTGATGTGAAAGAAGTAGTCCCTCAATAGCTAATTCGGAAGTATCATTATTAAGACTGATTCTACTTCTTCATTTTCATCTAAAAATTCATCCTCATGATTCACAAAGTTGTGCTGGCAATTAAAGCATTCTCGAATAATCTGTATATATTTATGATATGAAAAATCTATGCCAACTGATTTTAAAATTTCATGCATAGCTATTGAAACCTGTTATACTTAATAAATTAGAATAGCTTATTCTATTTTTCCAACTTATAACATTTAGTTACCTTTTCTAATATATTACCAATTTCAAATTCTGTTGGAAATAAAGATAGTTCAGAATCTAATGAGTCTTTAATTGATCCAAGACGAATATTATAGCTATCATTACTACCAGGATATTTAATAGACCCTAAAATAACAAGTATTAGTATTTTATTTAATTAGAATTTTTTAAATAGCTTTTTTTTACCTTTCATTTCAATATCGATATTTTTCATAATCTTTTCATTGATCATTAAAAAATCTAGCAATGTAAAATCTTCAATTAATCTACGTGCATATCCAAAAATATGCTGTAGGAATTAACCAAGGACACAAAGGAACGCCAGCATATGCTTGTGGAAAATAACTAATTAATAAAATTAATGTACATCCAAGATAAAGAAAATCATCTTAGTTTGCCAAGAAATTCCATATTTTTTAAAATTACGCTGAAATGGATTATTTTTAATATATTTCCATATAGCTGCAAAAATATAGTTTCAGGCCAAGCATAGGCTATTCAATTAATATGAGTCATAGTTTTAGACTTCCATGCTTCTAAAAGCATGCCTGAAAAAAAAGATATAGTACATCTCCATAAAAAGTATCATTATTATATTTTTCTGCATGTTCAAAAATTGCTAATTTGAATTACTAAATTAATATTAAATAAATAAAAACTAAAAAGTTTATATAATAACAAAGCTAATATACCTCGCAAAATATGTGATGAATAAAATCGTTCAGTAAGTTCATCAGATTGTTTGTCTTTGGGATTTAATACATCAGTAGTTAGCCCAGACTTTCCTCCATAGATAATATATAATTGCCAAAGATGTTCAGTTGACATTACATAATTGCCAATTGGTACAATATGTGTGTCAGAATTATGCATATTATGTCCTAAATAAATTAATAAGTTGTTAATTTCAAGATTTTTATAAATCATTATCTAATCTGATCTAAATTAAAATTAGAAAAGACGTATTGTACGTATTAAAATACCAACCCTTTTTTATACAATGATAAAAATCTGTTCCACTTAAGAGCAGTAATTTATTTTTACATAAATGTAGATCGAGAGGGAATTTTTTTAATAGAATTGATTCTGATTCCTTGTATAGATATTAAAAAGAATTAAAATCTTTATATATTTGTACATAACGATAAAATAAATTTTATAAATTTTATAAATACCTTAACTAATCCTAACTTATTCTGAAATTCATAATTAGTAAAATACATTCTACCAAGCCAATTCTGATCATGAGGTGCACCATCAAAGTATATTCAACTAATATTGCATCAATACAATTTAAATGCTTAACGACTAAGTTATTTTCTTCAATTATATTTGTTAAAGTTTTTTTTTAATCAGATGGAAGTACTGCTATTACAAGTGGTGGTATTCCTGGTATAACTGCTAAAATTGCAAAAACTGTAATATAAGTTGCTTTTTTTAAAGTTTTTAACTTTTGTTGAAGTTCATCAATTGTCATTGAATAAGGAATAGAAGTTTGTTGCATTTGTACACATCCAACAAATCGAGCATGACAACGATCTACTTCAATCATTTCAGCAATTTTAGTTTGATCTTTTGCACATATAACTGGCCCTGAATAATTATATGCACATTACCAATTATTAATTAATTTAGAAAATTTTGAAACATTAATTCCTAAAAGATCAAAAGAATTATCACTTTTGTTTCTTATTTGTCATAAAAATCTTACTGTTGGCCCTGCAAGATTTAATGTGATCCATCGTACAGCAAGTGTACTAATTGAGATAAGTACTACAAGAAAATCAACGAAAGTCTCATTATATTAAATTCCACGCATTGTAGTAACATTACATTCCATTTTATCTAAAACTTTTGTAACTGACTGTGCCATTCCAATAAATATAGGCTGTTTCTCATCTATAGTTTTATTTACCATATATTGGATACATTTTGCTATCCAATCTTCAATTCTATATTCTTCTACTGCTTCTAAAAGACCCCTTAGTGCCGGTATATCTCAACTAGTTGTTGATATTTAGAATCATGAATCTCTTTTTTGTAATATGTGATTTGTCAAGATTATCAGAACGATATTTTTTTGGGATGATTTTCTTGATTTTTTATAAGTGTGTTGAGTTCTTTAAAAAAGTAATTGATTTATTTATTAAAATTAGATACTTGACTATATTTGCAATAGGGATCTCAGGTTCATGCGATGCGATGCGATGCGCATAATTGGCCAATTTTTGGCATAGCATATGCGAAGCATAATTTGACAAAAATC